AAAAAAAATCAGTTAACTTTTTTTCTTTTTTCAGTGGCCCTAATCCTCTTCCATAGGTAGCCTACTGTGGACGGATCAACATATTTATTCAGTTTAATTTTTTCCCATATTGTTGATCCATGACCCAAACTTTGGTATTCAATGCTCTAGACTAGATGACAAAGGATTACTGTGTTGTTTGTTGACCCAAGCCATAATAAATGGAAAAAACTATAAAAACACAATAAACACTTCAGTCATGTTCTTCAAAAATAAAGAGGAAGTTTATTTTACAAGAAATTGGAAACACTTTATGCAGCGTTCCTTTCATCCATCCATCTTCTAACACGCTTAATCCCAAGTGGGACGGCGAGGGGTACCAGTGCCTATCTCCAGCTGTCTACGGGTGAGAGGCGGGGTCGACCCTGGGCAGGTCGCCAGTCCATCGCAGGGCAACACAGAGACAAACAAGACCAACAACCATTCACGCAGAATTTAGAGAAGCCAATTAACTTAACTGTCATGTTTTTGGACTGTGGGAGTACCTGGAGAGAACCCACGCATGTTCAGGGAGATCATGCAAACTCCATGCAGAAAGACCCTGGGCCGGGAATCAAACCCAGAACCTTCTTGCTGCAAGGCAGCAGTGCAACACTGAGCACCCCGCGTTCCTTTCATAAAACTATAAAAAAAGCCAGTAATTTTGATGAAAAGATTGCAAATACATCAGATGTCCTCCTGTTCACTGAGCTCCCACCTACAGCAAAGAGCTCGTCTGCCGAAAACCAAAACTCAAAAGATGAATTTGCTTAAAAATACAGCGAGACAAAAGAGTAACTTTACAGCAAAGATGAACAAAATCATGTCAATGTGGGAGAAGGTGTGTCGGGGCAGACCCAGGATGTTGAAGGCTCCTGCCGTGAAGCGCCAGCGTCTCCAGGCGGCCGAGACGCTTCGGCGACCAGCTGCAGAAAAAAAGACGATAGTGAGGCTGGTTTATTTCTATAACGCAGTTCAGTAAAATTCAATTGACAGTGCTTCGCATGAAGGAAACAATAAAATATAAGGAAAATAAAAGGCAAGTAAAGATAAAGCTGGAGTGATGGTGCGGCTCTTCTTCAGCCTCCAGGAGGCTCACCACAAAACAACCAGATGGATTTCTGACAGATCTCAGCAGGTTTCACTCACAAACTCTTTTTTATTTCTCTGCCTTTCTCATTTTTTGTTATATTCAAATCAGGGGGAGGAGTTTCCTGTAGTGGTCAGAGCTTAAAGGAATAGTACACCCAAAACATGATTAGCCTTCATTTTCTACTCACCCCCATGCTGAACAACACTCTG